TTAGTTCATTTTATTTCCCAGTATATCACTTTCCACTTTCCTGGAACCATCTAAGTAAGAGAGGATTTATAGAGTGTTTCAGGGATTCAGTCATTTGCATTAGTTTCGTAGCAATGTTTTGACCCTCTACAGTTAAGCAACAGGGGTTTTTTTTATAGGCTAGGTTTATATATTTCAGAGGATTATTGAGTTAGGATATTCATATAAGCAAATTCACAACAGAGAAAGTGAAAATTTTATACTTTAGTTTTTATTCTGCTATGTTTATCTGACAGCTATAATTACTTTACTAATAGAGGTTTGCAAATAAAACATATAGTGAGTTTATAAGAAATTATGCTTTATGTAGATTCAAGTATATAAGTAGAGCTGAAATTATTAATTACTATTAACTCACTGACAGAAAATTACCTGAGAATAAATTTGATAAGTCATGTTTCATAAATAATGTTTCATGGTTCTCAAATGTGAAGATTGTGATGACTTTTCCTTAAAGTGTTTTGCTTTATTTTAATAGTTCGGGGGTTTTGACTATTGGATGGGCAAAACAAATGTTATGGGGGCTGCTTAAGGCTCTAAGTAATTGTGATAAAATTTGTCACTACTTTCTGACCTTTTACAAACCAAACATTTTTCCAAATCAATTCATTAATTTAGAAAAAAAATCAGCAAATAAGCCTTCATCTAAACACAACTACAACATGCTATATGTCTCACAATTTCAGCTATGTAAAGCATTTTAGGCTCATTTTCAAGTTACATAAGGTCATGTAACTGTATTTATCAGATTTTAGAATTCATTTCAGATATGAGATTAAAGGGATGTAGATTACTGTTGGGGCTTCCGGTAACTGCAGACTCGTCAACAGCAAAGTTCATTAAACAAATTCTCAATCTGAAAGACTGCAGTGAATTTATGTAAGACGGGATTTGGAGCCACACGGTTAATGTTTTTACTGATTCACTGTATTATTAGGACAGCCTTTTTCATGCTTCAAAGTCTTGTTCTGGTAAAAAATTTTGTTACATGTTTAGTTGTCTCCAGCCTAAATTATATCTTAAAAACAAAATACAGTGAAAACTATATTTATAATTTAAGCTATTATATCTCTTTTAAACAGTGCTTAAAAGTGTGTTTCATGGCTGCATTTAAATTGAACACACGCAGGGACACATTGACATTAGTGCCATCCCAGAAAATAAATTCATGCAGTGCTTCATTATTAAGGCAAAACCCCATTTCTTACTGAATGCTTACCATCTATGAAATTTCTGTTCTTGTCTTGACAGTGAGAAAGAAGCTTTTTCCCCCTTGATGTAATACAGGGCGGCCCTCGACAATTTCCTGTACCACCCAGGACAGTAAATTACCTCCAGTAACTGTGACAAGAGGAGGGAGGGGAGGGTCTGAGTCACTGAGTGTAAAAGGTTTTTGTCAGACAGCTACAGCTTTTCATGCTGAACAACACTTTCTCAGCCTTAAAGCCTTAAACCAAACATAAATAGAGGAGTAAAGCAGACAAAGAGAGCTGAGGTAGAAAGGCTGGAAAAAATAATAAGATGCCTTCCTGATGGATCAAATCAAATCAAATCAAATTGTATTTGTATAGCGCCAAATCACAACAAAAGTCATCTCAGGACACTTTACAAAGTAAGGTCTAGACCTTACTGTTATCAATATTATTAGATTGGGGAAACCCAACAAATCCCCCTTGAGCAAGCACTTGGCGACTGTGGGGAGGCAAAACTCCCTTTAACAGAAGAAACCTCCGACAGACCTCGATTCTTGGTGGGCGGCCTTCTGCCTCGACCGGTTGGGGTGAGTGGATAGAGGAGAGACAAAAGAAGAAAAGCAACAAGACACAACAATCAAACACTGATCAGGTCGATGTGGCTGGTGACTGCTCGTCAGAGATGTAGAGCTCCAGGGCCAGGGCAACCTGCAGAAAGGTACAGGGAGAGAGAGAGGACACACTACGGGAGAGAGGAGACACAAAGTTAGTAATGTGTAATGGTGGCATATAGAAGCATAGGGAGAGAGTTCATGCACTCTTAAAATATACTGACTTCCCGTCTCCCCAGTCTGTACGGGAATATGAGACAGCTTAATACTCTGAGCCTGTAGTGGATATTTCATCCTGATCACAGGCCAGAGCACATGTATTACAGCGTGAAGTGGGACTGAGTCGTCGTCTCTGTCTGTATAGGCCAAGGCTTCAACTTCCTGTAGCATACTGAGAGAACTACAGGTTGTGAAGATACGTCTGAAATCACCCAGAGCTGGCACGCAGCCGGCGCATGCGGGGAGCCAGTGGAGAGAAGCTAATATGGGAGAGATATGATCTCTCTTGCTAGTTCCTGTCAGTACTCTGGCTGCAGCATTTTGGATTAACTGGAGGCTTTTTAGGGAATTATTGGGACATCCTGATAGTAAAGAGTTACAGTAGTCCAGCCTGGAAGTAACAAATGCATGGACCAGTTTTTCAGCATCACTTTGAGACAGGATGCTCCTGATTTTTGCAATATTGCGCAGGTGAAAGAAGGCAGATCTAGAGACTTGGTTTATGTGTGATTTAAAGGACATATTCTGATCAAAGATGACTCCAAGGTTCCTCACAGTAGTACTGGAGGTGAGAGCTATGTCATCTAAAGTAACTATATGATTAGACAGCAGATTTCTAAGGTTTTCAGGCCCAAGCACAATAACTTCGGTTTTGTCAGAGTTTAGAAGTAAGAAGTTGCAGGTCATCCAGGCCTTTATGTCTTTAAGACATGCTTGAAGTTTGACCAGCTGATCTGATTCATTTGGCTTCATAGATAAATATAACTGAGTATCATCTGCATAGCAATGGAAATTTATGTTGTGCTTCCTGATAATATTGCCTAAGGGAGCATGTATAAAGTGAAGAGAATTGGACCTAACACAGAGCCCTGTGGAACGTCGTGACTGACTTCAGTTTGTGTGGAACATTCATCATTAACATGAAGAAATTGAAATCTTTCTGATAAATAAGATTTGAACCAACTTAGTGCAGTTCCTTTAATCCCAATAACATGTTCAAGTCTCTGCAGTAAGATGCTGTAATCAATGGTGTCAAAAGCAGCACTGAGATCTAAGAGGACAAGTATGGAGACAAGTCCTTTGTCTGAGGCTAGGAGAAGATCATTGGTGACTTTCACCAATACAGTTTCTGTACTATGATGGACTCTAAATCTTGACTGAAAATCCTCAAACAAATCATTCTTGTGCAAGTGGTCACATAACTGCTTTGCAACAGCTTTTTCAAGGATTTTGGAAATAAAGGGGACATTGGATATTGGTCCATAATTAGCTAGGACACCTGGGTCAAGAGGATAAGAACTGAAACATCTAAAGTGCCTAAAACTTTTGCACAGCTTTGCTGTGACATGCTGGGGTTTTATGTAGGGTTATAGTGCTGTATGTGTGGAACTATTTCTTGACTAGGTGCAGTGGCTGCTGTTTGCATGACAATGTCACAGTGATGACAAGACACCATAAAGCAAAAAGCATATTTCCCAAATAACAAAACCTGGGCACAGCTAGCCTTAGTAAAATGCACCCAAGCAGAAAATGTTAGCACTATTTTTGACTTGTTCGTATTCAAATTGTTTTTGGTAAGTGATCATTGCCTGAAGCACAACAATATTGCAACTCTACTGTAAAATGCAAATAATATAACCCAACTATTACATTAAATATTTGCCTTTATTTTATTTTTAGCAGCTGAGCAGCTCTACCTATGATGTCATTTTCACACATGATGACAGAAAAGAGGATGTAAATATATTTCAACTTGTAAATTTACCATTTTATCACATGTTAAAGTGAAACTTTGCATCATACAACCTGCCCAGGTGTCACTGGAATTCACCACTTTGTTATCTGTTTGAGAGAAACTTCAGTGGTACGCTTAGAAATTTCCCACTTCATATGGCCACACAAATGCACCGCTGCAAAGTAAAACTACATCACAAAAGCACCCATCTCTTTGTTATATGAAAATCAGTGCTCATATATCATATTGCATTATTTCTGGGTAATGAAAATCAGCAGCCACTAACATGCTCTGTGTTTAGCCTAAAATATATATCTCTGTAGGGCTGCAGCAATTACTGTTTCTAATATGTTTTAGCTTACCATATATCACAGAACAGGATCAGTGGTGGCCTATAGGTTGGAGAAGTAAGCTTGTGAACAAAAGGTTGTTGGTTCAATCCCTAGATAAGAGGATTACATCTGTGGTGCCCTTGAACAAGGCCCTTGTCTGCTCCAGTGGAGCTGCTCAGTGGCCAGCAGGTCTGACTGTGGTTGTACTGGGCAGCTTCCTGGAGTGAATGTGTGTAACTGTGTGAATGAGAACAGAGAGAGGTGACCTGGGGATTACAAAAGAAACATTGTTAAAAAAAAAAAAGCATTAAATATACTGGCAAATGACTATAATTTGGGCAAACCTATACCTATTTATCATTACAAGTCAGACCTACAAACATTTTTAAGGGAATAGTTCAACATTTTAAAAAATATATTAATTTGTTTTTAGGTGGAGAGCTAAATGAGACTGAGATAGGTTCATGCTTGTCCATTCAATTTCAGTGGTGGAATGTAACAGTACTTATGTACTGTACTTCAGTACAATTTTGAGATACTTATACTGTGCTTGCACTACATTTCAGAGGGAAATATTGTACTTTTTATGAAAAATTTGTCAGGACAAGTATGTGTTTAGGTTGTTAAGGAGTAAATATAGTATGTTTCAGTCATCTTTTCAATGATTTTTCTATGCTGTTTATACTTAACTATAAATAAATACAATAAATACTCTTCCTCTTTAAAGATGTTTTACATCAAACTACAAAAATGAAGAATTAAACAATTATTAACAGTATGAGGCTGTTAGGGTCAGAGAAGAGTATAGCTCAATAATCAAGAGACAACCATCAAAAAATTACATTCAGTTTAATGACATATCAGTGAGCGTTGTTTCCTTATAAACCTCCTTAAATTCTGTAAAAAGTTATTGTAATGTGTTAGCAATTAGTTTTCATTCACAGTGTGTTTGGAGGAGCAGTTTAGAAAATATGGTATTTGCCTTCTTTCTGACAGTTAGATGACAAGATTGACACCCCTATCATATACAGCATGTAAAATGTGCCTAATGTGACTTTTAGGACAGCCGAGCCTGGCTAGCTCTTCTCCTCCGTTTCCTGCCTTTGTCCTAAAATGAGCTTAGGACAAAGTAAGAGTGGTATCAACCTTCTACCTAGCTCCCAGCAAGAAAGAATATCATTGAGTAAAATATTACCATAATGTGTGTTTGAACACAAAAAAACATATAGAGAGTGTGTATCTGAAATAACATTTTAAGGTATTAGCTGTACAGTGAAGACAAAAGTAACTTAAAATGGGCTGCTATAAATACAGTTTTTGTCACACAAATAATTTATCCCACATTATTTATATGTGTAGAAAATGGCCTTCATTTGGTACAAAGCATTGCTTATAACAATATAGTACAAATCATTTCAGTTTACCTAATTAACAATAATAATAATAATAATAAATTACCTTGACATAGGATTTGCTTCAGATTCTAGCAATATTGCTTTCTTAGTTACCAGTCACAAAATAAGATACAATCATACAAATAGGTGGAAATATAAAGTGCAAACTAAATAAATGGTAAAGGAATGTAGAGTAGATCATGTAGAGTCATCTCATATGATCCTGAACCTACATGTAGTGTACTAACTTCATCTAATCACACTTCATCACCCATGAATAAAGAGCATTTAGTTTCATGACCTTTTGTAGTGTTGTATTTTTTATTTTTAGCTTAAAGGAAAGTTCCACTTTCAGATTATCTTACAGTTAGTTATCTGAACCAGTGCTGACACTCTCCCACAAGCTGTTTTTTCACTTCTCGGTCACTGATGTATTTTTCTTTTTCACATTTAACCCTAAAAGTAATAGCTGAGTATTTTTTGGAAAGTGTATTTATTTATGTACTTGATGAAAATCAGATGAGAAGGTCAGGACCGCAGTTTTGTCAGTATGGCAAATATAAAGTTACAGGTAGCAGTTAACTTAGCTTTGCATAGGTGGAAACAGCAAGGCAACAACAACCTCCTCATGTACTCTAAAACTCACCAATTAATGTGTTATATCTAATTTAGTTTAACACTCTTTGTACAAATTAATTAATCATTATTCCTTTAACTAGCCAAATACAGGGTAACTATTTTTACTAGCTAACTGTTTTCCCATTGTTTCCAGTCTATATGCAAAGCTAAGCTAGCTGGCTACTGGAGGTAGTTTCCTATTTATAAGAGCAGTACAGATCTTCTCAACCAACTTTCAGAAAAGAAAGCAAAAAATAGCATGTCCCAAAAACTCAAGCCATTCTTTTGACATTTTATAGCTGCATTTTAGTTGGCTCTATAAGCTCCTGTGGGAGAAAATGGTCAAAAGTGTTGGCATGTGTTAGTGTGGATTTTTACTTTTACATTCAATAAACTCTCATGCAGCTGAATATTAAAAGCAAGCAACCAACACTGCTGCTTACAAACCAGAAAACAAAGCAAATGCATAAATCTGAACCATTTATGCAGTCTTTTGTTTATTCAGTCATAAACTGTATATAAAGTTGGACATGTTACCACTACCTGCCACTATGCAAAAGTGAAGCCAAAACTTTACAAATACGGTGGTGGCCATCATGTTTTGTAAGGCATTTTTTTAACTGGAAGTAGCAACCAGAAGTGGAGCTGCATTATCAGACCTCCAATCAAATTAGTGTTGTCAAATTAGCTGAAATACAGCCATTTTTATGTCATCAATTAATTTTAGTAACAACCATCAAAAAAATGGCCATTTGTACATGGAACCGAGATGATAATATCTACCTAAAATGACAGAAATCCCCTTTTGGAAAAATTTGTTATGTACTTTGGCTCATGTCCCATCTGCTAGCATTGAGAAGGCGGGGTTTATGACCTATACTGCCACCCACCACTAAGGGGCAATCGACCTGTGGTGGCTTCATTTCTGGGGAGTTGTCACATCATTCATCTTTATATGCAGTCTATGTATTCACCTTAAGCATCTAGTGTACCAGGTGTACACGTTACCTGTACGCTAGCTAGCAAGGGACACATTTTGCCTCAGGTTTCATCCCTTGTGTAGTAGATTCATAAAGCTCAGGGAAAAAAATCATTTTTTTCTCATGTTGAAAATGCAGACATGTCTTTGCCTCAATTTGCACTACCCCAGGCAACTTTGCATCTGATCACACCCGCTCGTGTCTTTCCATTGACTTTATATGCACTCGTGGTGATAAAATCCATCTTTTGTTCTGTCTGTACACCTGATTTAACCATTGCGGTTACTTTTTGCATTACCCTTCTCAGTGTCTTTCACATTACCCAAATCTGGATTGATTCACTCTAAGAAAAAGATGGTAGTAATAAATCCAAATTAAGGCTTCACACTATCCTTTTGGGTAACACCACATACAATACATTCGTGTCTTTTTCTGCTAAAACCAACTGAGTTTCATCTATAAATTCCTTCAAGGTCCCGCATGTGCAGTCTTCATTCACATTATGCTCTAAAGCTTCTGTTATGCTTTCTTTTTTTTGAGTGGCAACGTTTAACAAACAGTGCTAAAACAATCATCACAATTAATAATGTCACTACAACAGCAATAATGTAGTTTTGGGTACTCTGTTTATGACACATTTCTTGGGTCACTTTCTTGATGTTGACTGGCTCTGAAAATTCATCATGAAGGCAGGTCACACTGTCAATGTCGGGAACATCTACAGCTGAGTGCTGGACCATGTGGACGAAGCCGAGGTTCTTGCAGCAGCTCAGTGGGTTGGAGCCCATGTAGAGGGTTTTCAATGAGCGTTCCAGAGTGAGCATGGTACTGTACTCTAGGGTGACCAGATTGTTGTTCTGCAGGTTTAGGGACTCAATGGAAGACTCTTTGTTCCACATAGGTAGAGAGGTCAGCAGGTTGGTGGACAGGTCTACGTGTTTCAGACTCCTCAGTGAGGACAGGTCTGTGTTTAGACTGGAAATGTTGTTTTCCCTCAGGAGGAGGTCAACCAGGGAATGCTCGAGACCAGAGAGGGAGTCTTTTTCCATGTCCAAGCCTGGGTTCCAGGACAGGTCTAGTAATTTCAAAGAGGTGTTGGCAAATGCATTTGCAGGCAGAGTCAGCAGATTATTGTCAGATAGGTACAGGAATTGCAAGTTTCGAACAGAAGAAAAGAACACACAACTGGGAGGATGCTGGTAGTCTTGATCTGTCAACTCTGGCATGCACTGTTTTTGCTCTGAGGCACAGATTTTCAGGTTGTTTTGCTGGAGCTGCAGGTACTTGATACTTGGAAGTCCTTGAAATACGTTATGGTCCAGGGTGGTGAGGCCATTTCCTTGTAAAAAGAGATTTTCCAGTGATAGCATGGTGTTTTTCTCAAATGTGAGACTCTGCAGCGAATTATAGCTGAGATTGATAATCCTCACTTTCGATAGAAGGCCTTGAGTAGTGATTGAAAATGAGTTAATACAGTTATTACTCACATTTAAGACCTCAAGTGATCGCATAAAGCAAAAAGAGGATTCTGGTATGCTTTTGAGTTGGTTGTAACTTATGTCCAGGTATTTCAGGTGCTTTAAATAAACTTTTGTATTATTTTCAGGACTTTCTGAGGTGCTGATGCTCTGAAGCTGGTTTCGTGAAATATCAAGATATTCGAGCACATTGTTTCTGGGCAGAAGAGGAAAGTAAAGCAATTTGTTTTCACTCAGATCAAGATAGAGGAGGTTATAGAAACGTGTTGAGTTGATGCTTTGGAAAATCTCCATGCTGTTCTTGCTGAGATTAAGCACTTTTAAGTTATAGAGATTGAAGTCTTTGATGCATGTGATTGAATTCTTGGACAAATCAAGTTCAGTCAGAAGATTCAAGGAGTCAAAAGCTCCATCTTCAATCTCCAAGATGACATTATTGTGGAGGCTGATTTTTTTCAAAGACAAGGATCCACTGAAAGTATTTTGTGCTATTTTGGTGATGCTATTGCTGTTCAGAGAAAGGGTCACCAGTGAGGGAGAATCAGCCAGGAAATAGTCTGACATCCCTGTGTACAGCCCGTTGCTTGAAAGATCAAGTGACTCTACAGCTGTAAGAGGCCCAACATTGAATTTAGAGAGAGCAAAAACATTCAGATGATTCTTGGACAAATCCAGGACTTTTAGGTCAGGCATGTCTTTAAAGAGCCCTGGCTGGATGAAGTGGATCTTGTTAGAGTGAAGATTTAGATGATGGAAGCGGGTACGATACGCTAGAGTTTCCTCTGTGAGATTTAGCACGTGGTTACAAGAAAGGTCCAGCGTTTGGACACCATGAGGAAGGTCGACTGGTGCACTCCTGAGGTCCAGATCACTGCAAAACACATCCATCTGGACCTATGAACAGAAACAGGCACATAAGTCTCATTGTGTTGGCGTCTTGCCACGACTGCCTGACTATGACACAACACAGACCAAATGTTTGAAGTTTACGTGGAGGGTCGATTTATGAGTCAGTGTATCTATGGCATGTTCTTGGCAATGAGTTCTTTGAGGTTTATGATGACAAATCTTTTTATGCTGGCTATTTCTCTTTAAATTAACCTAAATAGTTAACTGGTATTTAATGACAAATGACATAGATCTCATTGTCAAGGTCTTCAGCATAGAGAAAGCACCTTTATTACCAGCACATACCTGTTGTCCTCTTCTCCCGCTTTTTCCTTAATAGATTGTTATTAAGTGTTTTTTATAATTGAAACCAGATGGCCAAGAGACCGTCCAAAAACAGCACATAAAACCGTCTCCCTCACTGCTTTCTCTTAGAGCCCGACTACATTTAGCCTCTTGGCATATTCGTAGGATCCTGAAACATTCCTTGTAGCTAACAAGCCAGTCAGAAACAAATACACTGATTTATTCAAGAGCCACAGTACAGGGCAAAATATCTTGTAACATTCCTTGTAGCTAACAAGCCGGTCATAAACAAATACACTGATTTATTCAAGAGCCACAGTACAGGGCAAAATATCTTGTATCTATTAACAGGCACTAAGGACAAAATCAGACATATTGTTAGGAAAATATCACCAGAAAAAGGATGATCTATGACTACTGAATGTAACCGTGTGCAATCAGTGATATCCTTAACTGTGTGTTTCCTGGATCCAATTACATTCTTGAAAACTCTGGTAATCTGAATTTAAGTGTTTGTGTGTATAAAATATGATTCGGGTATGTGGTGGTTTGCAGCACATTTAGTCATAGTAATAATATAACAAATGACAACGCAATAAATGGGAACTAAAGTACGAAAAAAACACTCCTTTGAAAGCTTCAGGAAATGTATTTTAAAACAGTACTCACAGGTCCATATGTACATTTAAAGATTTACCAGTCATTGTATTCATTTCTTCTCCCTATGTCGGATCAAAACTTACTCCAGTATGTGAGACCCACATTTTTTATTTGCACTGAAATACAGAGCTGTGCCCTATACTTTGTCCTATATTTCTGAAGTCAGACATCATGTACAGGTTTAGTAGAAGTAATTTATGAAAAAAGGATCCTTAAATGCACAATTTTCAAAATTTGAATAGCTAAAATTATGTTTGAATTATTCATAGAGGATAACTGAGCACTTTAGTTTGTTTCTGTCCAACATTGCTTCTACATTTGAACATTTTGCACAACTCAAATCGCAATTTGTCCAAACTAAATTGTCGTCTATTTTTCTTCTAAGTAAAGTTGATCAAGCTGGCAAGACAAAAAAAGTAGCCTGACAGATCAAGCTCTGTGGATTTACAGTTCTAATACAGTATGGAAAGGGGGAATGATTACAACAACCACTGACTCAGTGTACTGTGGGCATGTGAATATTTCACTGAGAAAAATATGGATATACCCTTGCATGGGCAAGTCACATAAATTAATGTGCACAATTCATGGGGTGATAATGTGACTTTGCATGTCCTTTGTGATGCACATCTTCATTTCTACAACATGAGTATTTATACACACAATCAGACCGACTGAACGGATGTCAACAGCAAAGCTCTGACTGACATCTGGATATTTTTAGAAGCTGGATCCACCACTAAAAGTGACGCACTCTTAGTTTCAGTATCATGCTATTTTTAGAAATGACATGAAACAGAGTGAGAACCTGTTTTATACTAAGGCTCCCATCTTTATTTCATCCTCCATGTGATTTCTCTGAAAATTCACATGTATTGAGTCTGTAAACAATTTCAGTAACACACAATATCAATGCATGAACTCTCTGTAACTGTAACTCTGCTATGGTTCACTCTATAGCCACTTCATGAAAGTTAAATATTTGCTGGCCTTTCCTGGGAAAACAAAAATTCTCCAGCCTTCAGGAAGCGATGCCTGTCACATTTACAAGAATTACTGCAGGCAATTTGCAAGATTAGCTAAAATGTATATCATGATATACCAGAAAACCCAAGGAAACAATGCCCCAGTCACACACTTAACTGAGAAGTGCAATACAAAAACACTTCATTTATTCTTCCACTGAAGCTATAATGTTTAACTGTTCGAAAATTAAAGGCTATTAGCAGCGTAGTTCAAGAGCTTACACTAATAAACCAAATCTGCTCACGTCAGAATCTTTCCAATAAACTTACACTAACAAACCAATAAACTATCGGCCTGTAGTTAATCTGAAAATAACCTCAAGCACCTGATGGATTAAGTCTTAAGTCAGTTGTTGTGGGGAAAAACATATTCAGTAGTTTATTACCTGGCTATGCC